AAAGGTTAATAAAGACAACAGCTTGTGCAGAAAGAAAGAGCTTGATCCTGCCAACAAATCTCATGAATGTACAGTCAGTCCCTGAGGTTTTGTATTTCCCTTCTCCTCCATGGCAAATGCAGAGGTACGCTCACTCTAGTCAACAGCCCTTGTCCCCCTCTGAATTCTCTCCTACAGTAGGAGCCACATACAGCTATATCCCCATGTACCATAGGAGTCACTATTAAAAAAAAGAATGGAACAGTTATCACCTAGTGGTATATGGGATAATAAAAATGTTCCCTGTTTTTAGTACCAGTCTATGGAAAAAAGATTGCCTAATGCTGAGTTTGGAATGGCTCCTACTGTAGGAGAGAATTCAGAGGGGGACAAGGGCTGTTGACTAGAGTGAGCGTACCTCTGCATTTGCCATGGAGGAGAAGGGAAATACAAAACCTCAGGGACTGACTGTACATTCATGAGATTTGTTGGCAGGATCAAGCTCTTTCTTTCTGCACAAGCTGTTGTCTTTATTAACCTTTACCAAACCTAATAGAAACGTGCCCAAAGCCTAGTCACCATTTAAACCTCAAATAACCCCTCAAGACAGGATTTAAATGGGATTTAACTGGTGCATATGGCCTCCTCAGGGGCGTATCTGACCCACAGATCTAAGCTAGCACTTGCCTGAAGTAGATATTCATTTTACTGAACAAGTAAAAGTACAGGGAGTCCCAGGAGTCTCATGCCTTTGGAAAGAAAACTAAGATGAAAGTGATGGGAAAGATTTGCTTTGTTCCTAGTGCATAGTGTGTAATTATCACAAAACTAAGAGGACTCAGGATAGAGACTGTGGACATTAACTGTCACCTTTTTTTGGGGTGATACTGTTCTTAATGTAGAAATACTGGACAGCCCAGAAATGTAGTATCAGTCTAGTAGAAAATGAGTGGAAAGCTGCACAGTATATTGTACTGATGTAAGTAGAACTATCTGCATATAATGTGATTTTATTTATTTTTTTTTGTGTAGAGGAGAATGAATATTCATGACTGTGGATATAACCTTTACTTGTGTAATGTATTTTATTTCTTTTGCCAGTTGGTCATTTAAAATATCGGCATTCATTGATGTCCTCTGACTTTTAATTGTGTGCATTTTCTTGTAAACGTTTCAAGAATTCAAGAGTTATAAAAAAATGTTCCCATTAAAGAAACAGAAATCTGATCTCATTCCTCCTGCTCTGTTTAAAACCTGCTGATTGTATCCTTGGTCACTAAAATTTGTTTCATATGGATGCCATCATCAGATTATTATGGGTTAATAATTTTTTTCTGATTTTAAAATAACTAATAAACCCCTGCTTTGAATAATGACTAGCAATTGACTAGCAGGAGCTAGTTGAGGAAGAAAGCTACTACAACTATCTCAGAGTCCCACAAGGCTTAAATAAAATACAGTTTAAATAGTTTTGGTGCAATCCCTGGGATCTCCGGTAAGATAAACAGAAATGCAGTTATTTAAATCAGGGGGTCAACTCAATCACCCCACAAGACAGACGCAGGTCTCAGGGCTCCTCATGGGCTGGATCCGGGGACAGCAGCACGGTAAGCAGTGGTGTCGAGATTAACAGAGCCACTGTATGCTCCCTTCCAGTAACAGGCATGCCCACAGGGCATGGAAACTTGATGGCAGGTCCCACCTCTACTCACCCTGTACCCAAATCCCAGGCCCCTCTGCCAGCCCCACAGAGTATATGTAATAGCTCTGAAAGCTAGATCTTTGACACTCCTGATTTAAATACAATAAAAACATAAGATGTTAGTACCAAGTCTAGCAATCTGTACTTAGGCAAAAATCCCTCTAAAGAATTTGCAGACTACAGGATATGAATCAATTTATGATGTTAGGCTGTGCATAGACAAAACGAGGGGCATGTATGCATGACACTTTAAAGAGGGCTAAATGGTTTTGCACCACTTTAATGGTGTTGGTGTTTGCACGCCTCGGCGGTGTATTGCACATTAATTCCAGCTGCTGTAGGAAATTTGGCAGTGTAATGCACCTTAAATGACTTGGGGCGCAACAAACTAAAACTCCTCAGAGGAGTTTTACTTTGCCCCTACAGCCGCAGACTGAAGCACTGGGTTCTGTGCAGCTCAGGGGCTCTGCAGGCAGCCTGGAAGCAGCCTGGGAAGGCAGACTCCACCCAAGAAAAGTGGCGAGCCCGAAACATGGTACCTAAGTCAGCCATCTCACTTGGCCTACAGCTTTCTTGTAAGCATCTATTAGTTGTAGCAGTATTACCAATGAATCAAAGTTGCCACTTCTAATACCACTTCTAGCCATACAGTACTTTGATAGAATCAGAAATTAGGGTTGGAAGGGACCCTGGTGGTCATCTAGTCCAATCCCCTGCTCAAAACAGGACCACCCCCAACTAGATAATGTAAGACAGTTTGGAAATGCGGGCAAGTATGCTATAGCTATGTTTGCATAAAAACCATAAGCTTTGACAATACACTGGAGAGCAGGTACAGAAATACGACACCCAATATAATTACTATAGATAATAAGTCTGGGGGCTGTAGCAAAACTAGACACACTTCTTCTTCTTTAACGGTTCCTTGTTCTAGTGTCAGCCCCTGCATTCTGTAATTTTCCACCCACATGGTACAGGATGGCCCACTGAGCATGTCTTACATGTTGCCCAAGTTTTGTTTTGTAATGACCAATCAAAATGTAACACGCCAACTGAAAAAATGCTAGCTCAATAAAAGCCGCACGTGCGCTTTGTTTAGGGTTGACACTAATCTGAGCAACAAGCTCCTCTGTCGGCCTGCTTGCAAGCAATAAAATAGAGTTGGACCCAGCCTGAAAGTGTGACTCTCTTCTTGAGGTGAATTGGACTAGCCTCCAGGGGACAAAATTAGCAATTTATGCAACA